CCTCCTGTCTTAGCGGCGGACTTCAAGGTGAGCAATCCATGCCTCATTCGATCAATACCTTGGGGGGTTTGCTAGTCTACTTGAAGTTTTTCTTGGAGTTTTTGTTAAGGCGTTTGGGCGAACAAGCCACATATGCTTTGCACTGTTTCAGGCCCTGACGAAGGCGAAGCAGCCGAAACGTTGGCCATATAAAGTATTCAATCTTGAAAGGTTTGAACAGGACTTATCTTTACTGTATATCATGCCAAGATTGCAAGAAAGTCGATCATGGACTCATGATAGATTTCACGCTTTGAAAATCCGCAATACCTGTTTGATGTCGCCCTTCTTCATGTATTAATTGATTGCAGTTTTTTCATTGATGGCCCATTGGTTTCCCTTGTTTACGACTTCGCCTTTCAAGCAATGTTTTCGCTTCTCTTCAAACCAGTATTGATGGTTAACGTTGACGTTCATGATTTTCAATTTAGTATCACCTGATCGATCCATTTGGGTGTGCGGACGAATTTTCGATCGCACCTAATCAAGCGCGCCTCGCACCTAGGCGCGAAGTGACCCTTAATTAGGTGCGAACACTACGCTATAATTATGCTGCCTGCTCTCGCTACTAATCGAGTCAAAACTTCTCAACTAAAAAGGATAATGACAGTTTAAAAAAACTGAGTTTAAAGGAAAAATTCTAGTATCAATTTCAACGGTTTTGAGAGTTTATTTACACGCATAATAAATAAGTTCAATGTATTTCATTTCAAGCTCCTGGAAAATGGGTAAAACAGTTTAGTTCACTTCTTTTTTCGGTATTTTCGCTTATTTGCGATATCAAACAACCTTTACAGAAGCGACGTAGTTCTCTAGAATTGTTTATATTGGGACTACTCTTCATTGAGAGGCCATTGAACGCCCTACGGCGCACCATGCTGGCCATTTCACGGTTTTTATGGCATTTAGCTAAATTCAACGCCTTTAGGAGAGGTAATCGAGGACTATTTAACTAATTGGGTTACTGCTTTAACTACCACTGCTTACTTTATAAGACACCACCATTCTGGAGACACACTGTACACTGTACTGTTCGATGAACTTACAGGGTGTCCCCCGCTCCAAACGATTTAGGAGTGCGCGGTCCATGTGGCCCTTTCCACCATTATCCGAGCTTTTCACTTTTGCTCCGCAAACCCTAGCACTACGAAATAATTTTTCGGAAGTTCTGCGTCTACAAAGCCTTCTCCAACGCAGCTGGATCCCGCATCACAACCTTCGCCCTACACGTTTCTTGCATCCGTACAGCCTTCTCCAATGCAGCTGAATTCCGTAACACAGCAATCGCCTTACAGTTTTCCTGCATCCCCACAGAGGAAAGAAAAGATCTACGAGGAAAGGGAAAGGTGTGATATTTCGAAAAGTTTCCTCCTATTTCGACCGTATGTAATACTTTAAATTTTCCTAGGTTTGATGAACTTCAACAGAATGAGCAAGGCGCCAGGATACAAGAATTTTGTATAGATGTCCAGATTCGTAACAAACAAAACTATTTAAGTTTTTTCACTTATAAATTCCTATTACTATTGAAATGAACCGTTTTCTCCCATATCACACGAACTTTATTCAGAAAATATATTGAATTCATTTATTATGCGTGTAAACGAAACTCTCAAAACTGCTGAAATTGATATTGGAATTTTTCCTCTCAAAAACTCATTTTTTAAAGAGAAACACCGTTTTTTTTTAAACTGTCATTATCCTCCTTAGTTGACAAGTTTCAACTCAATCAGTAGCGAGTGTGGGCAGCGTGATTACCGCGGAATCTCCGCACCTAATCAAGGTCCTTTCGCACCTAGGTGCGAAACGAGCTTGATTAGGTGCGATCGAAAATTCGTCCGCACACCCGCACAGCCCATGGCGAGCGGTACAGCAAGGGATGGGGGCGGAGCCGACTGCTTGGTTAAATGCCAGTACTGTCCAACCGTGCTTCTTCCATTCTGGGAGCTGTTGGCCGCCGGTGTGGTGGGCTATTTCGTAAAGTGGATGTGTGGATAGCACACTGCTATCGGCCACTTAAATACGTAACAGTGTGGAGTATAGAGATAGGAACGGAATTAAGAAGTAGATATGATCGAGGGACGATCTATATATAGGCGAATAGATTAATTGAACTGTTTACAAGAATGAGGCAAGGAAATAGTCAGAAATATCCCGGCCAAAGATCACAAGAGGGTTCGTAACTGCACTGCACCTTTTCCTTTCTATGTTCCCTAGTAGACTTTTAACTCAATGAATGGTATTAAGCCGTTCCACCACAATCGATTACCTCTAATGTTTTTTGGGAAGTGGATGAAAGAGATAAAGTGATGTCCTAGAGCACTTAGTGAGATTTTGAACAACAAAGGCGACGGTCGGAACTACTCGTCATACTGCTTTCACCATGAAATTCTTTTCTGTGGATCCTAACGCTTTCGTCAACAGGTTTTATTCCGTCTATACTTTGGTAAAAACCTCTAACTAGTTAAAGCTGTACCAAAAAAGCATCCCTACTATGCAACCATAGGAGCTCCGCCCTGTAACCTTGAGCATGCCAACCCCTTCGGTTTGACCAAGAATAGGAGACAGTGTTTTGCGTTTTGTTGTCCTTTCAGGCTCAAATTACAGACCCTCTTGCCATCGTGGGGCGGGATATTTTTGAATAGTTCCTTGCCTCATTTTTGTAAATAGTTCACATTAAACCATTACACCGATATATCCATCCCTCGATCCCATCTACGTTTTATTTCCGTTTTCCTCACTGTTCAGTACTCAAGCCCTCAACGGCAGTATGCAAACCTTGTATTCTCTTTACGGAAAATCCTTTTTGCCTCCAGATTGCCACAAATAATTGATTGAAATGCACAAGGGGAACACAGATCGCACATTGTGATTCCCTGTTTGCTTTGTTCGATACTTTCGTCGACGGGTTTTTAGGAGTTCGACGGCGAACTTTACTTTTTAGCTTCCTTCAGTTCTGTTCGAGGAACGCTATCCAGTTGTGATGAATCCTTTTTCTCCCGTGAGCAATTAGGCTTCCTATTCTTACGGAAAACCCAATACTCTTCATACTGATAGGACAAGTTTGTCGTGGTGTAACGGTTTATTGGTAGGTTGTAGCTGTTGCCGTCTCCAGGGGCTCAGAAGGGGTCAGATCGGGTGCGCTTCGTTGCGCGCATCCGTCGAAACTAGGTCATGCCGCAGCCGTCGCATGCGACGCGTCAGCGCGCGATCTTTGACAAACGTCGCAGCTGTCTGTGGGGCATACGATTTGCGCTTGGTCCACAGCAGTCAGCCAAAGGGAAGATACCACGGACAAATGCAAATCATTCGCTCCACTGACACTTGGTGGTACTGTAATGTCAGCACAAGACCTCAGTAGGGGTGCGCCGCGGGCGGAGTAGGCAGGGTGACCTACTTTCGGCGGACGCGCGCAACGGACGTTCTCCTATACGCTGATCGACCGTCTGACGCCCTCCTCCCCCCTAGCACTGCCTCGTGCACGCCGGCCGACCGGCGGACTATGAAAGCAGCCGATGAGGCATCACTGGCAGTGAAGAAATAGTACGTGAGGCTTGCAACGTTACCGAATTCCATCTGGCTATTGATAACCACCGTACACCCGTTTTAGTGTCATGTTTCGGATAGCACGGATAAAGATGGACTCCCCAGTATTCAACAGCAGTGAGCAAGAACTCACTGTGTTCCGACAAAAAGGCATTTTTTTTATTGCTAAGTGCTGCTTCACACGTGTAATTTTTTTTACTCTCTAATGCCCATCCATATGAGTAAAAGACGGCAGTATCACCTCCACCAACACTGACACTTTGACGTGGGTGCGGGTAGGATGTGCGGCTTACGTGGAAAATAAAACTTGGTATACGAGAGACGACAAAGCCTTTCAACTCTCCAGTAACTGGAAGGCCATGAGGGTAGTGCTGTCGAATTCTAGCCTAAGAGGACGGCAGTGGTGTCAGAGAAATTATGAAGGAAATGTTTCTTCTAAATGAGGAATCCAAAACCTGAAAAACTACTCTGGTTGTTCAGCATGAGAGAGGTCATCGCTACGGTGAAACCGTAGAAAAGGTTGGTCCCTCAGCTGAGGTCTTATGTGTTTGGGTTTCTAGTAAAATTGCAGCAGAACTAACGTGTCAGGGTGTTTCACCGGCTAAGTCGCGAATCAGATACTTCTTCTTTCCAAGCTTTTGAACAGTGCAGTTTAGGTGCAAGTGAAACCATGAAGGTGGTTTGCGGGTGAAGGTTTCGATTATTAAGTAGTATAACGTGTGAAGATTGCATCAGAGCAAGGATCAGAACACTGCAAATATGGATCGAAAATTTCAGTGTTACCAACTTTTGAGTAGTTTAACATAATATTAGGTTGGCAAATAAGTCCTGCGACAAAATGGAGACCTTTTTTGAATCATTTCTAAATTTTTTCATATCAATCAATTTTCGGAAAAATATTAACCGAAGAAGTCAACAGCCTTCTTTTATCCTTTGAGCCAATCATTGATACCATCTCTTCAGGAGTGAGGTAGCTGTGACTCAAAGAAGTAATTGACTGCCGTTTTTGGGTCACATTAAGTTACGAATTTCTTTTCTACAACGGGATGCTCAAAAAGGCGGAGCACATTATAGGTAAAGGGGGGAACACTCCGCGAGTACGACTGATGAGTAACCTGGAGCCAAGCGGGGTTGGTGAACTTTTGACGTAGGTCTAGAGTGAATTTTCGACGTGCGTTGTCCCTCTGTAGGGACCTGATTTACGGTTTGATCGTCCTTCTCTAAGCCCGCTAGCCAAATAAGGGGGATCATAGATTCAATCGATAGCTGTCTCCATCTAGTCTGCGTTTAGCAACTCATAGTGGATGGATTCCTTCAACCTCCATTAAACTAAGGGACGATGCTTGCGTTACTCGGAAGGCTAGTATCTCCTACAACGAAGCGATCCAACAGATTGTTGACCGTCGATTGGTGAGCAGTGCTAGCATCGAATAGATTGCTGATATTTCGAGCCGCTACACCCCCGTTTTTCCCTTGGCGCGCTTAGTAGAAGGTGATGNCTCATAGTGGATGGATTCCTTCAACCTCCATTAAACTAAGGGACGATGCTTGCGTTACTCCGAATGCTAGTATCTCCTACAGCGAAGCGATCCAACAGATTGTTGACCGTCGATTGGTGAGCAGTGCTAGCATCGAATAGATTGCTGATATTTCGAGCCGCTACACCCCCGTTTTTCCCTTGGCGCGCTTAGTAGAAGGTGATGATACGAATCGGGTGTTGTCCATTTCCTGACCGTAATGCTGCGAAAGCCCACACGCGTGCCATTATTCGCTCATGTGTTGATTGCTCGGGGAATGTTCTACAAGTTTATACCCCTTGCTACCGTGTTCACACTGTTGATACAAATTTTCAACGCTTCAAATTTTTTGTCGCAGGACTTATTTGCCAACCTAATAGTATAATTGGGCGTAGCTCTCGTCATGTGTACACGAAAAATCGACCATATTTCTTTCGATTCCACTATTCACTCATCAACCTCAAAATTCGTGCCTCTTCTGATCGAATTTTGAGTTCTTTGTTTCTTCTGGTGAAAGGTTTTTCTGAATATATTCCGTATTTTTTGGAGCAGTCATGCCAAGCTGTGTTCCAGGTTCCCACACTATTCTTTTTCCTGGGAATCCTGCCATGTGATGATCATTTTTAGCATGATTCCCCCGAACAAAGTCGTTTGTAAAGCAGTGCGGGCACATGTTGTTGACTGGTTGAGTAGCTACTCAGAATCTTATCCAAATTATTTAAGAAACGTTATGAACTACATGAGTTTATGGGCTATGAGATGAGTAAGAGAGTAGCAAACGCCTTATAGGGATTGCCTCATACCGCCTTATTTTTAGTTTTGATTTCGATTTTCTCCATTTTGGTTTTTTTCGTCGTGGTGTGGTGTTTCAATTTTTGCTAACTAAACTATTCAGCTCAGGCGGTATTAATCCCTGATTGCAAGAACAATTCAATGGTGATAGTGCTAGTTTCCAAAAAGACGCATTAACAATTATGAGTTTTTTTCCTCTTCAAGCGGAACAATATTTACCCTCACTGCTTCAGTTGCACTTCATTTGAGCATTGCCGTTTGGTGACGAAAAACACGTGGTGTGGGCGATAGTGGCAAGAGGCGCACTATCACACACCCATGGATCAGGGATCAAATCTCACATCAGATCGATATCTGCCCAAGTCAACCAAGCATTCCATCCCTCCGTGGTCGGTTAAATGGTACCAGACTAGTTTGGGAGGATAAAAACATTGACTTGTACGTCGACTGGTCACCGCAAGCCATTGTATAGGCCAACTGTGCATCAAATGCCACTACGATTTCGAATAAAGGCGAATGCGTGGGCGTACCCTGCAAACACAGTAGCACCAAGTTCTTCGGTAGCTTGGTCTCATAAACATGGCCAAATTGTATAAGCTCAAATGAAATGTTGAATCAAAAATGAATTACGATGTTTAATGAATTAAGGGATTTTCAGTTGCACGGGGGCTGTGTAACTACACTCGAGTTGGGCCGCATCATGAGCTCTCAATTCCACGTGTTGCTAGATTGCCCGCTGTCTCAAAATATTCTTTTCAGATCGATTTTTGGGAATACCTTGTCGCTGGCTGTTCTTAGGGGAATCCTTCTAAATGTGATGAGCGCATTACCCTCCAGGTGATCTACCTTGGTGAAAAACTGCGACTTCTGTTCCCTCGCTCCTAGTCTTCTCAAATATGCCTGGTCTTTCTGTACCGAAAATCGACCCAATGAAGCAGTCAATCGTCATGCGCTGGCTGAAGGAAGGTTTGTGTGATGTGGCACGCCTAACGATGTGAGTGTTTTGTCGAGGAGTTTGCGTGGGATGAGAAAGGCTGCTGTCCGGAACCGCCCTCAACCTCGCCTTCATCACCTCAGGACCCTATCCTTGGGTGGTCTGTACCGTAATGTCTGCACCAGCATACAGAGCCCATACGCCTCACTGCCTTCCGAGATCACGTTCAGTCGAACGCTTTGGTACCGTTGCCACCCTTACAAGGTATATTTGCAAGATATATCAACCTCCTTCATTCTGTAGTCGGTATTTACTAGCGGTTACAAGATTTGTTAGTTGTAACTGTAACCGTTGTTAACCTGTAAGGTTTGAAATATAAAAGACAAATCAGCAGTTTTAGCTAAAGAAATTGCTCCCCCACCTAACGTGTGTGGAGAAACAGCTCCTTTGACCAGGAGGTTTGATTAAAAAGAATGCTTTTCCATAACTCGCCAACGTTGTGAGTAAGAAGGAACCGTTCTTGACTAGCTGTGGCTTTCAGAGTGTCATCGGTCCCTAATCTTTCGACTTTTCACGTTGGCGGAGATCGGTACAGGTGCTCGACCCTACACAAATACAGAAAGAACTATGATACGGTAGGTTTCTGTGGAGTTTCATTTGAAAACATTATCAGCACGTTTACTAAGGAATATTGATGAAAAGAGAACTTTTCGCAAAATTAAACATTCTTAGCATTTCCCTCTCTGCATGATTTCGTGCAAAATTTTTCCTTGAAGTAGGCATACATCAAACGAAGAAACTACTATTCCTTACATGGAAAATATTTATGTTACATAACTTATATTCAACTGCGATCTGTTATCTCGTTAACAAGCAACTTTAAAGTATTTTCTTCTCGAGATATTATATATAGCAAAATGTTCAAAAGAGTTCTTGAATTGGCTTTCGTGAAGTTTGAAAAATCGGTTATTCGATCAAGAAGTCTACCTAGAATCTCGTTTGGCAAATCGTAGTGAAGTGAATCATTTGAACCAATTGAATTTTGATCTTTTCTGGTATTATATCTTCAATGACGACGAAGAGCTTTGTAAATGAAGCCCTGAAAAACGCGTTCTTACGTAAACTATCGCAAAACTCAACAAATTTTCTGTATCATATTCGTCCACAACTGTTACTGATTCATTGGAATTTGAGGAGCAGGTTTGTGTCCCACGTTCCTTCTCGGATTTTGGCTGAAACATCTTGAAGTGCTTTGAAAAGATCAGTCTCACAATCGAGAAATAGTCAGTTCACGTTGCTGACGTGCCTGAACTATCGAATCTCTGAATATTTTTCGGAGCATGCATTTTTCTAAATTTTCGCTGGCCTACCTCCTCAAGTTATCAACTACCGGAAGGCAGCAGCATGAAGTGTAATCTTATCGATAGGTGGTTTTTACCGGCTGTTCAGAAGAAACGCCGTGTATTGTGTAATGCTACGCGATGCCATCATTCCTCAAAGTGCTCGCAGTGAAACAACTCAAAAGCCTGTTAGGCTCAGCCAACTAGTTACTGGCTTCTATCTAGTCCTTGGTGGATTTTATCCAGTTTAATTCGGGAAATACCGCGATAGCTTGGGGAATGTTATGGAAAAGGATTCAGTCTGATTTTCTTTATTGTTAGGAACTTCTATTCTAAGGTGGAGATTCAAAAAGTGTCTCTAGATATTGAGGTAAGCTGCAATGGATCAGACTTGCTTTATGTGCCAAACAATCCAGGGCTTATCAGCTATGGGTGGTCCTCCGCACCTCGACCCGAAGCGATCTCATGTACTTCGATGTGAAGGCTCCACGATCATTATGCTGCCCGTGCCATATACAGCAAGATAAAGGCTATCAACTGAAGAGAATACCAACAGTAAAAAAAGTAAAATTTTTGTAGAATATTAGGTTTTTCAATAAAAGGAAACTAAAGGGTTTTAATTTTGGACCATTTTATGCAAAATAAAAAAATCAGCAGAATTGATGATGAAAGCTTTGTATATAATGAGCTAAAATTTCGCTCCACTCCACATTTCGCATTCCACTTGTACACGAAAATAAAGTTTTTGACCTGCATTAATGAAGTTTCTTCCAGTCCAAATCATAGTCGTTCTTAGGGCGCTTCAATTCCTACTGTTGTTAGTTTCTTCAGTTTTCATCCTCTACTCGTTGATAACGATATAAAGACAGCATAAGGAACATGGATCCTTCACAACTTATTAAGATCGGCTCCACAGAAGTACGAAGTGACATTAATCATGCAAAAGTTCGCAATCCCATCATCTACAAGTGATTCTCGTGGAAGAACTAGAAGAAAAATAAAAGGGAACGAGAGATCAGCTTCTCAGATGATCTGATTCAAAAAGGAGAAACGTTCTGTTAATAACCTCAAGTCCGTAAGTGATCTCCCCTTTTTCCAGCTAGATGATCAGAACATCGATCGTTACATGTTCTATCAGCCATTTTACTGGCCGACATACCGCTATGCAGCACGTCGTGCACTCTATGTGGATCCGATCCCGAACAGTCTCGGATTCGAATACCCGGATTACTGGTGAGTTGTTCCAACGAACGGATATTCAAAAGCTACTCAAGGGTTTGACCAGTCGTATATTTATTGCTTTTGAAAAGAACTTTGTTATTGCATGACGGATTTTGTATGCATTAGTGTTGTAGGTGCCAGTCCAGTTCTCCGAGGATGTTTTGAAATGGAATTTTCAGGATTCTCGCCTTGCTTCTCACTTGCATAATTTTAATAGGTTGACTAGTCTTTCTCTTCCGGGAACGGTTAGTTAAAAAAGACGTCCTGTCAGAAAGGAGGTTCTAAAACTGCTCGATCTCTGAACTCAACATCATTATTACTGAAGCGTTTCATCAGCTCTACAACACATGCACTACTTTATGAACTGTACTTAGGACCCGCTACAAGTGGTACACTGACTGGTTAAATCCGACTTACTGGCGTCGCCATCGCGATCCCAACTACGACCGACCTCTCTGGAATAGCTGGCGGCCATGGCAAATGGATAGGTGAGCGGATTTACATGCATTGATAATGGGAGATTTAATTTTGAATGAAGTTCCTCACTGATAAAATTTCTATTACTTCAATGGCATAAGAAAAACCTGAACATCTTTAGTCTGGTCTTGCTGGCTCTTTCGATATTTCTAGAGCAAACAACTAGGGATATCTTTTTTCCCGGAGCCTTCTCTAAATCCATCCGTCAATGGGACAGATTTTCGAATCGCTTTTGGAAAGTCTTGGCTTTATCTTTTAGGCCATAATATTAGGCTAAAACGAAAATTGTAGCGATTTCTTTATAACGGCTTTCTCTCCCAGAAGGGAAAAGAGAGAACATTCTAGAATATATAAGTGCCTCACTCGAGGAATGCAGAATTTGTTTGTTGAGCTAATCGAAAGTTTGCCATTACTGCAGTAACTAAGGATAACAGATGTTAACCTCCACTCTGCATAACAACTGTTACATTTTATAAAAAAGAAAGTAATTGTTACAGATCGAACATCAAGCGTGCTATCGACATGTACCGCAATGGTCATATTGATTTCAAGACGTTGGATGAGAAATGGATCACACCGTCTGCATATGGGCGGTATGGGAAAGACTGGGCAGATGTCTACCTACCAGCCGGTTCGTTTCTCCCTGCTCTGATTACTTTGTAGTAAGGGAAACTATTCAAGTATCTTAGTACCAGAAGCTGTTGGCAAACTGTGAAGTTGAACTTGGGGGAGGGGAAGGGGCACCAAATGGCGCTCTGCGTCTTTCTGCCAAGAGCCAGAGTACAGAAAAAGGTAGGACGTAGTCGGTAGGCTACGGACGGTGTGTGCCTAACTCTAAGCTCCGGATGGTACGGAGGTAGGATTTTAGTTAAGCAAACGGAATTTTCATTGAGTCCAAGAGAAGAATGACCTTCAGGACCCCTTCCCCACCCCTCCCCACATAGACAGTAACAGCCAACATTCCGGAACGTACCGTGAGTTAGCGCGAGCTGACACCAATTGCACGCGATAATAAAAGAGGCAAGTTTTGGGGTTTTTTTTGAATAAAGATAGCAGCCCTATAGATTCCATGATTGAGTGGGGCCTCAGCGCAGCGCGGTACTGTGGAGATGTCGGAAGGCGAAGGGGTAGACTCGAAGTGGCTATTAAGGACCATTGTGTACAAAATGACCTGGTTCCGATGTGTTTGTCGCGATGGTGCCTCAAGGACCACTAAGGAAATTTAGAGATCATGAAAAACAGTAGGAACATTTACTAGCTCACATAGCGAGTGCGAAGCGTGACTGCGATTGTTTGACACTGGTAATGACACAGCCGACCAGTGGACACCAAATTTCGCCCTACAAAGTGCGCAAATTCTGGTAAAAATTATTTGTGAGGGAGACTTAACCACAATTGTTTCGTTTTAATCGTCATCGTTTCAGCTCGCTATGGAGCTCATCGCTACTTCTACTCATTTTCCTAAGCCGTTGTAGATTGTCTTTCGAGATGTTGTTTTATTTTTCTTGCGAAACGGACCGATATTCACATGTAAAGTACTATATACGCTACAATAAAGCATCATGTACATATGTTTTGGAAGTGTAAGTATAGTATAGCATAGCGAAGAAGTTAAAAAAGGTGAGGTGCATATAACGGCAGGGGATACAGAAGGGGAATGAAGTAGACAACAAGAAGAAAATGTTCAATATTGAAGAACTCCCGGAACTTCCCCGTAAAGGTAAACAGGTCACAATGAGAATTCAAAAGATAGATATTACCAAGTAATATGCAACAATTATAATTAGCAAACAAATTAAGATTAAGAGCTGTGCGTGGTCAAACTGAGAGTAGCCGTTTTACTTTTTCGTTAGCACCATCCATTGCTATATCGCTTGTTTCCATCTGAAATGATTTATGAGTTTGAAATGTATCTCTGATCTAGCACAATCTATGAATAAAAAGTATTACCAGGGTCTGTATTCGGTCGATTTTGGGCTCCTGAATGCTCAACTGCACATTTATGTCAGCAGCCAAATGTTTGATGTTATCGAGGGTCTCATTAACATGTCGAAGGTTGTCTTCAATTTCACCTTCGACCACAGTATCGGTTAATCTGAAATTGAATAATTTTTAATGTTTTTGATTTTCCGTGGTCGAGCTATACATAGAGTTCTTCTGTTAGAGTCCAACCACCATTGGGATGCTGGAATCTGCTAAATACTTTACTATATCCTTGCTAGCATAATTATGCATCGGCTCATTACAAGTAAATAGCTTGCGTGCTAATTTTCTGAACGTTCTTTGAATAATTACCTTAGTCAAACTAGAAGCATTGTCCGCTTTAGGGAAACGGGCAGTTGAATCGGTTCTATGCAATCGTTTCGCCGCACGCGGCAGTCGCGGTCTAGTTGTCTTGCTATTGCGGTTCTAGCGTTCTTCCTACCGCTAGATCGATGTGCGATTACTTTTTTGGCATGATTCTACAGTTACTTCTTTTGTTTCTGCATTCCTCGCTGCGCTACCTTACCTTCATTCTGCTGCATTCTTTTGTGCGCGACGTCGCTCACGCCGCGAAGCGATCATTTCGATTCAACTGCTCCGCATGAGAATACCGAATTTTTGTAAAGGACCTCACCGAGTCATAAACGCTCCATCCAGTTTTTGACTTGCTTTGCGCTTTACAACAATAGATGATGAGGCAGCTGCTCGGCTGAAAAAGTTGTAGATGAATGGCCGTTTGCTGAAGAGTTCGAGATGTAAGTTTGAATGAATTTTCCGAATATCTGTGTAATACAGAGCATGCACGATTAGAGCTAGAAACTACGGCTCTCGTTTATCAGTGGCAATTTCAGTGATATTCAAGACTCCATCTTTAATGAATCGTCAGACTCAGCTTTTCGGGCTCTATAGGTTAGTTATACGAAAATCTAAAAGCTCTACTTGAAATAACTAGATTTAATGCACAAATCTATCCGTAAGGAATAATTCCTCTTCATATAAGTTTGAAATGAAACGATTAGCAGCCCCGAAGTCAGTGCTCTGTGAAAATTTATTTTTTATTATTATTTATTATTATTATTATTAATTTATTTGAAATTTTTTATGAGCGTTTCCTCCGTTGTGTGGACCTAATTAAAAGAATGGGGTATATCCTGGTGAATTGGCTGCCTTCCATTACCTCAAAAAAACCGAAGCTGCATTCTATACTGTTTGACTACCTAGAACAAATGCTATTCAATGATTCGTAGGTTATGCCACGATGGAAATTAACTTTCGCTTCCATTTTCAGCCTGATTTTCATCAGTGGCCGATCTCCTAGTCGCAACAGACCGCGCGCAATTCACGTGATGGGTGCACGTTAAAGGCGACTAGGGAGAGGGCCAACCGCTTGCCGAAATGCTCAGCATCACCGGCAACACCAAATTGGGCACCGATCACGTGAATTGCATGTTGCCGTCCTGAACTTGGACGACTGCCGAGTGGAAAGCAGCATGAGAATGATAATGGAATTAAGAAAAAGTTCTCATCAAGGGGTTTGCTATGAATGGTTGATTAGCATTTGCCCTGAGGAATTAAAGTTTCAGGATATGCCGCGTGCTGATGTTTAGGGCCACAAGATAGAAGAAATACTATTCTTTTATCAAGCCGCTCAAGAAATCCCTATACGAAGTTGAATGCAGTTTAATATCCACCATTGATTTCATTATTATCTTCTCAGACTGATACAAAAAACTTATCTAAATTTCAGACTATGCCATATCAATAGAATTACATAGTTCGCAGATTGGAGCCTTCCGAATTCTCTAAGTGCTATATTATAGAGCTTGATGAGCTGTGTGTACACCTTTTGAGCAAGCTTGGCATCGACCCTTTTCAAAACGATAAACGGAAAAACGTAATTTTGTTTTCGATCTAGGTTTCCTTACGATGGGGCTTTCTTGAATGCGCACGACATGTCAAGATTTTTCCTAGTCATTGGCAGCGGAGTTACCGAATACAAACTTGTAACGAAGTATGCGCTAAATATGGATAGACAATTCGGTCTCTATGTATAGAATAAGCTAGAAAGAGGTGGCTGGATATGTTAGGCGTATACGTGTGGAAAGCGTCTCTTCAAAAAAAACCACACTGAAATTTCGAGAGAATTCCAGAAGAAATTTGGATCATAGCGAAGTTCTCGGCCGTTACCTTCCACACAACCTGATAAGTTTTCCTTCGTTTGAGTTGGCCTGACATGCACCCATCATTTGTATACATACTTCTGTCAGAGAAATGGAGTCTTGAACTGACGCCAGTTCAAGACTCCATTTCTCTGCTGACTGCTCTCATGCAAAAAGGAGAAATGACATAAGGAGATGAAAGCAGCCAAAGTTCGAGCTTCGGATGGTTAGGGGGTAATATCTCTAGCACAACGGGCTTTCATACCGAATGAAGAATTAAATTAGAATTAAAGGATTTGAGTACTTTCAGTCCTACCACTTGTGTTAAACTCACACATCGTTCTCCTTGTCCTTGTTCCGACGAAGACGCTTCAGAGAGAAACTGCAATTAATTCAGACTGCTTTGAGTATCTTTACTTGCAATAAACTTCTAAGTCTTAGTAATGGTACAGACCATATTTTCGGGAAACAGCAACAGCGTTCCATTTTGGTAATGTCACTTGTAACAGCTGAGATATCATCATTTATTTGATGAAGGTTTGCTTCAAGTTTATCCAGTTGTTCTGCAAAATTGGTTATATAGAAACTATGCTTCAAAAAGATACTAATTAGGTGAGCATAACGAGAGCATTGCAAAAACAATAATTTCTCATAGAGAAAAGATACAGCTAACAGTTATCATAACTTCTGCAAAACCCATAAAGACAAATGCTGATCGAAAAACAGAGCGTTTTGCCTGTTAGGCATCAATAGCAATTACAGCTAACTCTCTTTTTCGTCTTTAGGTTTTTCCGTAATCTGGTTCAGAGCTGTATTTATCGAATGCTAGACGTATCGCTGAACCCAGCTCTTCAAGCCCTACAACATGATACATGAATATATCTGAAGAATCCCAATCTGTAAACAATTTTTTGACAAGTGAGAAAGAAAACATAGATCCGACAACATCTTGGTTACTAGGCAAGATAGAAACCTTTGTTTGAAACTGCCTCAAAATACATTTAGTTAGTACGATAAAGAAGAATCGTCCCAAGAATAAATCGTCACATATTATGGACCTAATCTCATCCCCCTTCTGCAATTTACTATTGTCTGTTCATGCAATTCCGCGAATGTTTTGTTCCCAATAACGAATACGATGTATCGAGAATGAGAGAACTGCCATATTGCCTTGATAGTGCAGTGGATTGAGAATTCGTCCCTTGTCTAAAGGGTGGAGAGTTCGTTCCTTTGTGTGGCTGTCTTTTGCTTAATTCTTCCTCATCGCAAGCCGACGAAAATCGCATTGTCATTTCGTTGCAGTGTATGAAGCTGTTATATTCGCTTGACAACACCGAGCACACATTCCCAAACTTGCAAATGGGCGTGAGTAATTTGCTTCATTCGTTTCGGCCTCCGAAAAATAGAACCATCGAACTCGCGAGCACCGATCAAGAGTGTTATCCGCTGCGCTCTTGCAACACAACAACCTCGATTCAAGCCCATGGGTCACATCGTCACATAATATGGATTTAAACTCATACCTCTGGAGAAATTTACTCTTTGCCGCTGAGCCGAGGCCACGCCCACCAGAAAGAAGCTCAAGCACCTTTGTCTGAACCTTCTCAAGCACCAAAATACTCTGAAATTTCTTGTGATAGCGTCATGGAACAGCACAAAAGCGCTAACACAACGGAACCCTTTTATACAGTTCCTCGCGGATGACCGCTGCATTGCAGGGATCTCCCGAGTCTTGAAAAATATTTTCCCAATGCCGGAAAACTTGAAATTGACGGCAGATGCACTGTATTTCCCGGTATCTGTAGAAGAGTGAAACGATCAGTTGCGTGGAGAAACGGCCAAACGGTTAGTGCGGCAGCTTTCCAGGCGCGACATGAAAGGTTCGGCACTCAGGCAGGTTTAGTCCATATCATGGCTTATAATTTGCGACTTAGAACCAGTATGTTTTGAGGCGCTGAAGCGAGTGGTTCCAACCAGATGAAAGAACGGGAAATCTGAGAGATCA